TCTTAAGGTTTTTATTTTTCTTTCGCTAGACTATAAATGCTAGGAATCTTATTTTGAAGGTGAAATGCTTGTAGAAAGGGGTTATATTTGGTAAAAGGGAAAGCGTGTGTTAGCACGGTAAAAGGACGTATTCCGAGGAAGATGTAGCACTTTGAGTTTGTTTAGCATCTGGATAATAAGAGCACAGGATTTGTCAGTATGTGTTTCATACTAACATTTTAACATCTCTTCAGTTCTACTAGCACTTTTCTCACTTCTTTTTCTAGAGCATTTTGGTTTTACAAAATCATTGCATTCTTCAGCATTGATATCGAAGCAGCTCTATAAAGAAACTTCACTCTAAAACAGAAACCGTGAGATTTTCTCTTTATTATTTCAGGATTTTGATCTTAGCCAGTCAGAGTAGTATTTCTACACGAGTATCTCACTTAGTATCAACAGTATAAAAAAACTTTATGTCCCATCCTACATTAAAAGAGTTTCTCATTGAATAAAAAGGTTGTTTCTGCCTGTTCCATGAAGGACAGGCAGAATTAACAAGATATAGCATATTCGTCCCACATACTACCTCTTTGGTCATTTTTCAGTGTCAAACAAGGACAAAACAAATGCAAGACAGTTCTCTGGGAGTTTTTGGTGAAGGTGTGCTTGCCCTTCAGGATACAATGAATAGCACTTGCTATTACAATCCCAATTTAAAAGATTGTGCATGGTTTATTTTTCCCATTTACTATGAATCACACATTGTATTTATAGTAAATCATTTTGTTTTACATTTTAATGCATTTTTCCAGGCAGCCATTGTCTTCCCTTGAAGCAACCTCTTAAAACCCCAAGTGAGTAAATATACTTTCAAAAGTTCACCAAAAATATGTCTGAAAATCCCAAGCTGCAGATCATGCATTTAGAAATGGCTACCAACAATGTAACACATACATGCTTTCTGGATAAGGATCTAAAACTTACTGACCAACTAAAACTTTACACACACACACACCCCTTCTAAAACTTTACACACACACACACACACCCCTACTTTGGACTATAATTGGCACCTACTTTACAGTAATTATTGTTACTCTCATTATGCAGTGTTTACACAATAAATAACTTTAAATGCTCCACAACACTAGAGCATGCTACGCTTTGGGGGATCATTTCCACCAGTAAATGGGGATGTGATTGCACATCAGCATGCCCACTTCATGTTCTGAATGCTGTCCAAGAATGGCTCTCTTAACCGTTTCTCTCTCTTGTGTCCCAATCAGTGCTGATGGCTTTGCAGATAAAGCAGGGTTTTTTTTTTTTTTTTGCATGCATTCATTTCTATTCTTGAGTGACAGCTTGCTGTTCAGGCAAACATTGCATTGAATGGTGTAATATTAGCTACTGATCCACACAGATGGCACATGTGTTTATTTTAGATCTTGTTCATGCCAGACTAAAGGCCATAAAAATGTGTAAACTGTAAAGGGCAAAAGGTACCTAAGCTGTCTGCCAGACGAAGAGATGCTGCAGCCATTCATTGATGTGTTTTCCACTGTGGTTAGACTGATCAGTGGCACAAGTGTGCTTCCAATGCCAACAGACATTCAAGGACAAGTGGCGAGTACCACTGGAGGATTGAGTGTGACTGAGCGTTGCAACAGATTAGCTCTGCTTGTGACAAGCCCAGTTATCCTTGCAGACAGGTGTGAAGAATGCTCTTGCCTTGTGGGCAAAAACCACTAGTTGACACAGCTCTTCCCCAGCAAGCTATTGTATGGGCATCAACGATGAGTTACTTTCATATTTGTTATCTATCCTTTGTTCAGGGTCAAAAAGTTGAAAGTATAGATAACATAGCAGGTTCCTGTGGCACTCAAAGGTTGTGTATTAGACCCCAGCTGGCTCCTACAGTGAGGTGACAGAGTTAGGGGCGTTCAGGAGGCAGGTGGCCTCGCTCTGCTAGCAGGGGCAAGTCATGTGATAACATGCTGCTCTTCCTTCTGTGATTTAACACCTCCAGCTCTGGGCGTTGTTACTTCCTCTTGCCTGGATCTGTTGATTGGCTCCCCACAGGCTCTATTCACACAGACTTTGTCATTGGGAAATCCTCAATGAACTGACCACACATTTTTCTTCATTATAGAAAAGTAAAATAAGCAGGCTATGCTTTTAAACAGAAATATTTCAGCAAAAAATTCATATCTGTTTGTGCAAAATCCGATTTAGCATCTTAACAAAGATGTGATCATTACTGAAAAGATTAACACCGCATTTTGATCTTTACTGCACAACCATGTTTTGTCCAGGAAGACTAATGTCCATTACACCTCATTAGTTTGCATTTAGTCTCAGCAGTGTCTATCAAACAGCCACCTGATGGCATGTGGGGGATCTTTCGTAGTACTTTAGATTACCTGATACACTTGATGCACCTCATTTGTTACTCATGAGCTTAACTGTACACCCTGCCAAACTCCTTCTAGTTTGGTTCAGGCCAAGTAACATGGCAGACACAAGGTGTTTGACAGAGCCTCAGAGGACCTCAGTCAAAATGCATCTGCCTGTCTGCTCATTAGCACTCCATCACCTTAGAATGAAGGCAGATAAACTCAGAACGAAATAGCGCCTGAAACAAGTGTTTAAAATGATAGCTGCTCTTATATGCTCTACTCGAGCGTGCCCAAGGGTAAAATTAGACAAGGGGAAAATGACCTAAAAGTGGCGCCTAGCTTCATGGCAGCATAGCAGTGGTGTACTTGTGAAGCTATACAGGTAAACTCAGGGGGGTTAACTTTTGAAGGATTACAGTTGTGTAAAAGCTGCCAGGATAACCTTCTTCTTTCCATCTCATCCCATGGTGAGACTTAAACTACAATATCACATCCAGACCATCATAAAGTCCTTGCTGGTTTATTCACAAGGACAGCAGTTAATGTTTCAGTCATTTAGTCACAAATCATTTGCTTCTAGAAGCCACTAAAAGACATGCACAAAGAAAACTGTAAACAAAGA